CATGGTAATCACACAAAATATATGCATGTATATACTAGTAAATCATAGACGCACACTCGCTAATAATGTACAAACTAGAATAGAATCGATAGACAAGTTCGAAAAGGAGTACAATATAAATGGCAAACAGAAAGAACCCAAACAAATTTACAGATAAATGAAGTGTAGTACAATGAGAATCACAGGTGGGTTCATGTGCATTGGATATAGTTTAATTGTTTCGGGGTGTATGTGTCTACAAGATGGAAAGACCTAAAAACCAGGGAAACACAAAACAAAAATTGCCACCAACAATTATGGAAAATGTATTAGTTGACATTTGGAGAAATCACACACCAGATATAAATAAAGCAGGCACAATCAAAGTCTATGGGTAAATAGAATAACCCGATAGTGTTAAGTGATATTAAGGCTATTCGAAATTGATCGATGGCATCCAAGTGGCAAAACAGACATGGATGTTAACGGTGATATTTACATGTATAGTCCTGAACGCCAGACCAACGTATGTCAATAGCCACTTAGAAACCTGGGGTGTCTGTTGTCTAGACAACTAAAGACAAATGAGGCACATAGAGGATAATCTAATAATCGTTGAAAAATTACGATCAAGAAAGGCAATTGGTTAAAGAATGGGAATGAGGAGGACCAGGAAATGAAAGTAGCATTGCCGAAAAAGGCCATGAGACAATTAGGGAACCTGGAGATCATTCGTACAAAAACATTAAGCTTATGGTGTATACTAACAGTGCTAGCAGAAAATTTCGCCAAAGGGATGCAGTATGAGAATAAAGAATGTTTAAATTGCAATAGCCAATGGCAGTCTGTCAAAAATTTAGAAGTAGATTAGATAGGGAAGAAAAAACAAAGGCTGATTAAATGAGGTAGAAAATTTCAAATATAAAAATAGAGGGAATGCTTTTTATGCTTGATGCAGGGAAATCTATCTATCCCTGGAAAACCGACTAAATATGAACGCGGAAAAAGTTTGGACAACCTGAGGCAATGCAGTCAATAAATTACAAGAGCAGGTCATGTGGAGATGGAGGTGCTGAGCAATCAGTAAGGATAACAAGAAATGGGTGATAAAGCATCATAAACAAGTGCAATAGTTTTTAAGTCGTATATTGATACCCGATTAGAATCGAGAAATAGCGGAACTAGCGACTTAAACAATTAAGCTGTAAAAAGCCCGATCTTCCAAGACAAATCGTGCTGAGCTAGAAGACCTCACCATGAAAAATTAGCTGGCGTAGAGATAGCACCGGGTTGATCTAAGCTAATTGAAGTGTTTGAGCTAAAAGCATAAAATCATTGCAGGGAATTGGCCCACTGTGAAGATGGGATGGATGAGTGAGAGCATTCATGATCACAGGTGGGGGATATGAATAAAGGCGATCACAACTAACAATGGATAATAAAAGCATAAGCGATGAAAATGACAGGCCAGAGTTTGAGGCCTAGTTGGGCAGGTCAAGACGCAGTTGTGCAGGAGTGATCTGGTGAGATGGAAACGAATTCATGGGTCGTGAGCCTGGAGCAAATGATGCATTCTGTCGGTGACGCTGTTGTTGCTGATGATGCTGTTGAGTGGAGTGATGCTGGATTTGTGTGTGAGAGGCGAATTGCGGCTGTGCATGTGCAGATGGATGGGCGGTCAAAATCGGCTGCCGATACTGCTGTTGCTGTTGGTGATGCTGCTGCTGTTGCATGAAGACAGATGTTGCTGGATGTATAGGGCTAACTGCGGAGACATCTTGAGTGATGAGTGGAACGCCAGGACACTCCGAGATAGAATGATGCTGTTGATGTTGATGCATCGCTGCACAGCAATACATAGCAGCCGCAGCAGCTGCCGCTGCCGCCGCAGATACTGAACCGGGCGACGGAACGACTGGCTGAACGGTCAAGGCAGGCGCGGCTGCGTGGAAGACACCAGCGGTAGTTGTCGAGGTGGCGGGGATCGAAGATATAGAAGCCGATGATGACGATGAGACTGAAGTAGAAGCAGCAATTGCTGCTGCTGCCGCAGCAGCGGTAGCAGCAGTTAAACAATCCTCTGAGTGGTAAGTCGACAAATGGGTTTGGTGCATGCCGGTTGGGTGGCTGGTGGCAGGAGTCCTAGCTTCAACCATTCCGGATCGAGAGAATCCAGATGGTACAGTGTGACCAGCTGGGTACCGCTGCATCATAAGGGCAGCCTCTACGGATAGCTGGTGTGACGCTGCTCCTACCTGCCCAATTGATGCAATTGATTTGGAAGGCTTAGTGGGTATGCACAAAAGATAAATCATGGATCGAAATTATTCTTAGGTAAGCACTGATGCTAATAGCTGGTCAAAGCAAAGCTCCAATAGCAATTTAAGCGAACTAAAATATAATAAATCTACAAAATTAAGATACATGATAGAATACCTGTTGCTGACGTTGAGCAGCAGCAGCTGCAACTGCATAATAGGAGGCTACGGCAACCTGTGAAGTGGTATCGTCACTAGAGCAATCCAAATTGACAGAATTTCGTGAATTATGATTAACTGAAGCAAAATAGAGCAAGGAAAAGTGAATAAGTAGAGCCTTGTATACTAAGTTAATAAGTTTTTATGAAGTCAAGATTTGTCGTAACTACATCATTTCAGAACAAAAAGAGAGAAAATATCTACCCTCCCTCCGATGCAAGTTGACCAATTATTGTTTTATAACGCATTATCAAAAAAAGCTTACTCAAAAGCTATGGGTTTAAAGAACAAGTCCGAACAGGCTACGTATAATTTTGAAAGGCTAATTGATTGAACACATCACATTTCTAAACTATGATGTTGCCTAATTTGTGATCAATAGTGCGAAATGTAATTCTTTGCTAGCGTAAAGTGAAATGGAATATTCAGTAGTCTAAAATATCAAAAACGCAATTTGAATTTAAACAAACAATTATATGCATCCGACATTATGCGAAAGATAAGTTTCAGCTGTAAAAAGCTTAAACTCCTGGTAAATCTACGAATATCTATTACTTATTATAAAAACGTGAGAGATTCTTGCATTAATCTTAGGAAATGTCATATTGAGAATAGTAGTTTTCAGTATAACGCTCTCCAGTTTAATGAAACTTTGGCTATAGATATCGTCAGAGCGGGAAACCCTTCAACAATAAAAATTTACAAAAAACAAGACCGACTGTCTACAGATAAATAGGGATAATAAAAAGGTGGATCAAATGATATAAAGTTCAAATCGACAATAACACTTCCAAAACAAGCATCACTTTTCGATTAATTCAATACAATTTTTCTTTTCTTGCTTTTGACATCAAAGCAAAAAATGATGCTCTGGAACCAGATTTTTTAGATTAAAACGATTTGTCTAAAGAAACCCATTTCATGATAGGTAATTTACAACTGAATGATGTTGCTTAGCTTCGTTCAAGATCGATAGTATTACCAATCATGAGAAGGCCAGGATAAATTCTTAGGCTAGCAAATAAGCTGCATTTCTTCAGACGTATGCCTTAACCATTTTGCATGAATTGTCAGTATACCGATGAGACGTCCAAAACCAACTCAGTATTTTAGCATCCTGATCACGTACTCTCAGAAACCCTTCAATTGGCTTTAAATGACAATCGCGAAAATTTCAAGAGAGTAAGCTCTTCTATTTTATGGATAACGCCTCAGCCGTGCTTGGACAAGTAAAAGATAATAAAATGGGTTTGCGATAAGACAATTTCCCTCAGTAGGAACCCTGTTTAAAGCCGTCAGCTAAAACATTTATGATAGTTCCCAGAGTCGGAATATGGGCTTGGTACATTTACAGACGTATAGCAACAACATCAATGAATCTTGCCATTATTATTACCAAGCTATTAATCAAGGATTCGCTTGACAGCGAACGCAGACTGCAACTAAAACAGCTTGGTCTTTTCCCATTTGTCAA